CAGTTTTGGTTCTGATCAGTCCGCTATAAAGTCGATTTGTATTAAGTTCCAATCGAACTCCTTCAAAACAAATTGGTGACCTTCATAAAACAAACCACGGATTTCATAAACGTCTACAGCCCTTGTTTGAAACATTTTTTAGTATGTTGTACATTTAACGAAATTCAAGAGAAGAAATGTAGGCTTGCGCCAATAAAAATATGACTTGTCGCTCAACGTTAGCAATTGTGAACTTTTGTTTCAAGCGCAGAGTTGTACAAGACCAAAAATGGTACGAATTAACATTTTTATACTAAAATGTATTCGCTTTATCAGCGCACTGTAGGGAACCCGCGGGCCCCGAGAAAACAACACGCATATATCTATAATAAAAACCGTTAACCTAAGGGGTGTGACATATGCTAATGTTGCCCGAAGCTTCGGCCAGGCTGCATCAGCAACTGTCGTGTTGATGTCAGTCAGTTCCGGATATGACAAGATGAATGAGCTTAGGAGCTACGAAATTATCCGACAGCGTGCAAATCCATTACAAGCCCCAAACCATGTGCTTGCCATCAACAAAGACGCCCATTATGTGTGTCATCGAGTGAGCGCAATGTGTGCTCTAAACGAGACACGAGGTAGAAATTCGAATTCTGTTGTTCCTGCCACTTCTCTGAATTCGAGTCTAGACTGGAATCCTGGAGAAATTATTCCAGCCATTATATCATTCGCATAGGAATTTCGTTTTTAAACCATATACCTCTAGGAATTCTTATCAAATCTTCAGTTAACCTCAACCTATAACATTCTTTTGGTTCCGCAACAAGACAAAGTTTGCTGAACAGTTGAACTCATCCCAAACCATTTATTTTATATTTATTTAGTGTTCTGTCTGACGACAGGTCCATATGAACAGGATCCTTCCATCCTTTTCTCGGACTGGGACCTGTTCATATACGTTCTTGGCAGATGATTCAGAAGTGGTTTGCCATTGCCTTCTTCTGTGTGTGAATGGAGTAATTGTTGGGATGCCACGGAGAAACCGGGGAAGCCCCCGGAGGAAAACTCCGTGTTGCCTAGACCACGGCCTTGCCCAACACAAGGTATAAATTCGGGCACCGCCGGGAATCGAACCCGAGACCCCAGGATTACAAGGCCAGCGTTCTAACCGCGTCAAATGGTTAAACAATAAAACCGACGTTTCAGGGGCCGTCTCTGTCCCCATCATCAGGGTTTTGATGTCATACGTATCAATGATAACTTTCAACATGCAACAGGCAGGTTACAGCTGAGCTTATTCTATGTTTGCAGGCAAATATGTGTAGATGACGGGCAAGAACTGTCACTCCAATATGGCTGCCAGTTCTATGAAGTCAGCGCCGCAGAGAACTTCGCTGGGGTTTCCCTCGCATTCCAGTCGCTTCTGAGGGAAGCACGCTCAGTTCAGCTTCTGAGGGCTCTGCCCATCCGAAGGAAGCTTGGAGTCAACAGTGTGTCAAAGGTGCTGGGCAACATCTTCGGTAAGAATAACAAGGCAGGCGACCGCAAGAAGAGACCTTCACTCAGCATCTAGCTGTCAACATCAAATGGGGCCGCTGGATTTGTGAACTTCACTGCCTTGTAGATTATCCTGCTTTAAAGACTGTTTTTTCGGCGATCCTTTCACAGAGAGCTTTTAAGATATGAAAGATGTTTGCGTAAGATAGCAAATAATCTCAACACGGACATGACTTGAACACTGGCTTAATCATTCAAAACGTCCAGTTCACGTAAGCTTCAGAAGCATTTGGAAAACATAGTGGACAATGGCATGATCTATGCCGAAATGTTCTCTCAAAATCATGATACAGTTTGGTACATCATATTAACTTAACTCCCTGATAGCAAAACCCGCAGGTCCAACACCGACAACACCAAAGCCCGCCACCAGACACGATCCTGAGCCAAGTCTATCAATTTACCATCCTCACAGCCCACCTTCTTAAGATCCATCTTAATATTATCATCCCATCTACATCATATTATCTTTGGTGAACAAATACGGCCGTTTCACCGCTTTAAATTACAGTATTCCTGTTAATATAAGTACTCTTTAAGTTGGTTATTCGATATCACGTTCTATTGTGTTAAGTGCAGCAGAGAGGTAAAGAGATTTAATATATTCTGCTGCATTAAACGCGGAGTGTGGTTGATTTTCAGACTGATATTAATTAATGAGGGAAAGATACGTTTTGTTAAAATATTGATTGAGTGTGTGTTTATTTGTAGGCTACATCTCATCCGAATACTGGTTAGTAATACGTTTGAAGAAGTTGTGGAAGCCAGACAAGAGAATTTTTCCTTCCTACGTTAAAGCTTCAAACGAAACATAATAAAAATAATCAGAATCTTCCAATTTTGGAGTTACCTCGTAGATCTGCCCCATGGAGGCGAAACACTGATGGCACCTAGGAGGTGATTCGCGTAAACAGTAACAACCGTGAAAAATCAGGGAATCGGGGAATAACGCTCAAATTCAGACTTGGTGTATCGATACACACACAATCAAATGGGATCCGTGTACTGACTGAAATTCGTCTTTCTGTAGTCTTTTTTCTGCTCCACCACAATTTGGAGGCGCCGTAAGATGTCAAGACTGAGGGACCAACGACTCGTTAGTAATAGATTACGAGTGAGTTACTCCTGTAAAAAGACATTATTTTTATATAACTTGGGGTGTTCTTTCGTCACAATAATTTCCGTAAGAAATACGTGCTGTGACAAGCTTTTCACGGTTTTATCCGTCCCTTCGCTGCCTAACGAAAAGTTCCAAACACTTGTGAAAATTGCCTAGAATCCCACGTGAATCTCTTATCGTCTGTACAGTCATTCGGCATAGTAATGTTCTGTACTTCTCTTCTTTTCCGTCTTCCATGAAACATTGTTAGGTGCTCAGGACCGAAACACTAAGGGAGTAAGATAACATGAGATAAGATCATGCGAATGATTGGCGCGTTGTTTAACGATGCCGTCAGTTTCAGGAAGTTTTAAAAGTCTTTATATGTGAGAGGCCTATATACGAAGGCGGTTAAAATTTGACCTGGAGTTATATATTTTTTTTTCAGAGGGAAAATCAAGTTTCAACATCAGTGAAAATATTCGTACGTGGGTTGCCCATAATGAAAGTAGTGTTTTTGTGGTAATAATCACAAATCTATCCATCATTCCAGAAGGTGATGTGCCAGTCTATGTTGAACAGCGAACTATCTTCAAATGTTTATATAATAAAGGCGAAAATGCGACTTATATTCATCGTCATCAGCAATTACAGTTTGTGGAAGATTTATCTGTTGCGTTGTTCTGTGTTCCTCTGGTATCAGTCGTTCAAAGACGACCGCGAACGCTTATCGAACCTACCGCAGGCAGCGCGGCACGACCATGGCAGTTAAAACAAAGTCCTGTTTGTATTGACTTCTTGTTAGAAAGAAGACGAATGAATGCATCCTGCTACTGTGATCGACCCAAAGGCAGGACTCAAAACGGCGATGAGGACCCGAACGCGCGAACGACTGTTCAAAGGGGTCATCATCATTCACGATGATTTCCCTCCGCATTCTGCACAAGTGGCAGGCGATGCTCTTCATTAACTAGGGTGGGAGGTGCTGCTTCACCTTTTTTACGGTCCAGATTTGTCCCCGAGTGATTTTAACCTGTTTGGACCACTTAAGGAGAGGCCAGCGAAAAGGTCGTGGTATAGGCAGTGATGCAGTCTTCGCTGAGCTGTCAGCCGGAAGAGTTCTGGGCTGTTGAAAACAGCAAATTACCCGAGAGGAGAACCAAATGCGTTACAAAGCAAGGACAGTGTACAAATATCAGCATAGTTTTAGTTGTGTTTAAAACCTGCAGACTTTCGGAAGAATAATTCTAGGTCAGATTGGAACCACCTTTGTATTTATTGCTCTATTATAATGCGTCTTTATTTTTATAATTATAATTTTGCATTGCATATTTGGGTTGCACACTTTATTAGAGGTCGCATTATGTTCGAGAAAATAGGTATACGGTAATACACGAGTTGCATCGTCTTCAGTTTGTATGTAAGATCCAGTATGGTTGCAGCTTGTGACACGAGGAATTATTTCCTGTTAAATAAGAGTTATAAAATAACTATATAGACTGTATCTTAGCCAGTTAAATAGTTACAAATGCTGAAAATTAGATATCCGAATGAATGATGTCTCAATAAGTGATGCTCACGAATTACTGATCAATTTTAATTATACAGAGTGTCTCAAAAACGTATGAACATTTTGATAAAGACGTACTGCATATTAATGTATTCATGATGGGACCAAAATTATTGTGGCTCTTAGTAGTATGGCAGATTGCGTTAGTTTGCCTGTATTCACATTTGCTATGAAATGGGGTTGGTTTGAGAGTCCCCTGATTTCGGTAATGATGGTGGTCAGAATGTTTATGTTGGGCCCGTTAATCACTGTTCGCTTGGGTTGTTATTTAATTTTGAGCGTACTCTTACAGAAACGCACTACACTACAAGGAATTAGTCTCGAAACATACTAAAAGTAATTGTTGTTACAAAGTCGTTGACAGGCGATGGTGTTTCGTTCAGTTTACAGGTTTTGTGATCGAAGCTAATATAGTCGATTATGCATTTTCTATTATCACGAGACTGTAAATTTTGAGCCAGAATATTTGTGACAATCTATAAAATTCATTTTCAGGCACAAAAACTGCCGTTATTCCTATAAGTCATTGTTGGATGATTGAACTTCTGTTTATGATAAAACATTTGAAAACTAACATGACCGGAGACTGGAAACAACGTACTTACCGCATCTTCTGTAAAGCTAATACGATGAATATGGAATTGTTGCATCGCTAGGCGTCTGTATTGTACAAACCTTGAAAACTTTCAGAACGGTGATAGTATAAGTGCCATCAAAAATAACAAGAGTGAGCATTCCACAACACCCGTGTTTTATTTGAAACTATGATCTCATAAATGTTAAGGACTGTTATATATGATGTATTTTCTTTACTTTCCTTTTATACGAAAGTGTAAAATGTGAAAGTGAATTATTGTATTTTTATTGTGGCGACAAATATGTCGTTAATGCTCGCGGCCATTTTGATTTCTATCGCTGGATGGACAGGCTTTTCCTATTTTGTTTAGGCCCGTTCCTCCATCCATAAATCTAGTTAACAGAATTAGATAAGTGTAATTATATGGCGGATGTAGATACATGAATATTTTATTACCAATAAAATGTAAATTACGGACTGGATATAATGTTTTGCCTTCAGTTGTTTCCTAATGCCTTGTGTAGATATACTAATGCTTCCTAATGGTCCACAGTATCCTCGAATTCCTTTCCAAACTAATGCAGCACATTTTTTCATTTGTCTCACGAGGATGGTCGTGTCTGTCCAGATCTGTGTTCACCGAAACTTTACGTATTTCGATTAAACTTGGTACGGATGAAGAGACGCTAAAATTTGATTAATTAATTTTATTTCACTCCATGTTCGTCTGTCATGTATTTAACCCTTTTTACAGAGGCAGTTTCAGTTGAAGATACCAGTATGTAATTAATTTGGGTGTTCTTACCGGTGTGAGGGACGAATCTCTAAGCTTCTGGTAACGTCTTGTTACCCACTACGTGGCCCGCTGATCTCGTACGGCCCACGAAATGTACTTTTATTAGGCATTTGTTCAGTTTGTGGGATAAAGTATTTTACGTTTCAATAAGACCCGTTATGGAAGTGATGTAAAGTGATCGTGAAACAGATTATTATTTGGACAATATCAGGTTAATTCTGTTGTTAGTTTCATCTTCTACTGTAAATTGTAATTGTTGCTGTGTTCATGTTTACGGTGCGTGCCTGGGTGCAATCTGTACGCTGTAAAATCTATTTTAGGTAAATGAGTAAGAGTTTAATGATGTTATCAAATAAAATGTATATGTATAATGTTTCAGATCATCTTAACGTCTTATGCAAAGGCTATACCATTTAAACCTACAGGCCAATGTTTGTCCATCACCCTTCAAACCTCACACTAAATAAAACCCTGAGTAAGACTGTGAGATCTATATTTAATTGCACAGTCTTCCCTGAAGATGAAGGCGATACGGTTCTACGAAACGTTGGTGACCACCTACAAAACTGGACGACGTCACAGCCCAGAAGACCACGATCTACAGAAAGGAAAGCAGGGTAATGTATTTGTTGTTAATATTTGTCAATAGAAGTGACTTTATGCGTGGCACCCTGAGTTGAACGCTTATCCACTTCCGTTTGAAGGAAGGGTGACTATGCGGGTGCGAGTTAGTTGCGACCTACATGGACTCGCGTCAGGAGGGTGGATTCCAAAGATAACATGCCCTTGGATCATCATCGCGCTTCGTCTGTCAGAGGCCTGTACGTCTGAGTCCCAGGGCGAAGAAAGGTGTTTGTGTCGCTAATTACACCAGCTTAATTTATATTCCCAACACCCGAATTAATTACCCATAATAACTTCGAATTATCGAGGGAGAGTGCGAAGCACCTGCGATTGGATGCAAATTAGCGCAGGGTTCGAGCACCGATAACTCATTTATCATTTCTCACAAGTTGCCTTCTGAGATCAAGAGTGGTCCAAGTCAGTCAATTTTTATATGAACACATTTGGTGTAATCAGTCGTGACAGATTATACAGGGACGGCCTGGGGAACGTCATTAAACACGCAAAATTTGCTGATTCATTCGTGAATTGATTGTTTTATTAATTGAATAATGGGATTTAAGTAGGATAAAAGAAAGGAAATATAGCTGGAAGGGTAACGCGCACTCTGTAGTCTTAATTCTTATTTAGCAGGCCCTCAATTCAGATCTCGGCCAGAAAACTGCTCATTCTTTGGAGTTTTTAATTTGTTTTAGTATCTTCAGAAAAATGCTAGGTTGCCAGTACGATAATCCTGTTGATGGAGGCAGCAAGTACCTGTGAAACGTCTGTGAACTTCTACCAGACTACACGGGGCAACAGCACAGAAGACAGCGGTCTTCATCATCGAAGAATAGGCAGACGTATCTGTGCTGTACACACAGATGGATTGCGAAGACACGTGACTGAGCTAAGAGTATCATAAGTAGTATATTTTCAGAAGTAGATTAATACAACTTAGTACACTTGTGTTCTGATTCTTTTCCCACTGAAATACTGAAGCAAACTTAATACCTTTCAGAATTATTGGACGCGGGGTTGGAAGATCGCAAAGATTCTACCCACACAGAACAACGCGACACAGAAGCGGACATAACAGCCATGTCTCGAGGGGGTTTTGAAACCATGATCCCCGCCCTGATGACGGAGGCAGTATGACCTCTGAAACGTTGGTAAACATCGACCAGACTACACAGCGCTACAACCCAGAAGACAGAAATCTTCATACTCATCGCCCTGATGATGGAGGCAGTATGACCTCTGAAACGTTGGTAAACATCGACCAGACTACACAGCGCAACAACCCAGAAGACAAATCTTCATAGTCACCGCTGTGAAAACCTCAAATCATACACACTGAATAATGTTTCAGGCAAACATTTCCATATTTTAAGATATTAATTTCTTAGAGTTACTGCTTATACGCTCAGAAGTAATTTGAACTGTGGTAGAGAGATCTTAAATCTTACCAGAAAGTATTTCGATACGGACGCATACTCGTGTATTCGTTTACTGCAACATGAAAGTGAACAGAATCACAGCCTAATGGATACGCACTTCAGATCTCATTTTCGCTTGTTTCACTTTCGTAGGGACTGCAGATGTGACCCTAATTCATTAAACCAGTCAATTCGTCCATCAGCTGCGTAAAAAAAATTAACGCTTGTTCGACTCCGAAGCCATCAATAAACTTGACGTCTCTGATTCGTAACACACTAACTGCACTTTCTAGGCGTGACAGTGGACCTACGTAGATCAGCTGGTGAAACTCAAAAGCAATAATTTTTTGTGCATTTTAATCGAATTATTACACTCTTTGATAACAATGCTAGAGTGTAATGTAGTTCCACTTTAGTATGAAGTAAATTCGTTTTCCATGCTATTTTAACAAGAACTGGAACTTGCTTTACTTTATTTTCAAAATAAGGTCCGAGGTGAAATTAATATTAACATCGAGAATTAAAATATTATCTTCAAACCTTAAAATATAAATTACACCGCTTTTACAACGAGTTATTTATGTGATGTTTGAGGTCTTTGTGGCGGTGAAATTTTGGGCTGTAGCCTTCTGTGATCTTGTAGGTGGTTGTTACCTAAAAGACTACACAGCAACATTACCCGGAAGACAATCCAGATTTTGCTGTCGTTGACCGATATGTGGACTGGAATTCCGTTTACAATACTCTATGTAAACTGAGAACGAGTGGGAAAATTAATTTAATTTGCGGAAGGTAAATAACGCGGGCCCCTGGGCGCGAACAGTGTGTGCCGCATAAATATTGACATCGGCTGCGAACTATTAATTACACTGCCCGCTTTCATCACGTCGTAAAATATGTAGCATACGTAGGTCATTCTTGCATTCATCTACAGCCAGTGTTGACTGGCCTATTATGGCCGTTAATCTGCATGAAGGAAATCCGCTGTCTGTTAACGGAGTTTGATGACATTCGGTTTTAAAATCTTTTTAAAGAACAGAGAAGACTAGAAGAGATAAAATTAGGAACCAAAGAATGAGAATGTTTAATGTGTTCAAAGACTAAAAATCACAATATAAGTATCTTATTTCGTATCACATTATTGGCGAACGATATACCTAAAAACATTCAAAGCGGGAATAGAACCCATAGGTACAGTCCAAGTTAGGTCGGCTTAAAAAAATAAAGCAAAACAGGCAGGAAGAAATGTTCATACGCCTAATGACTCAGTAGAAATGCTGATATGAGCCCCAAACATAACTATGGTATAGCGAGCATTTCAAAGTGCCAATTTCAAAATGTTGGACTTCTTCAATCGCCATTTTGCTTTCTCAGACCACAATGTTTCGGGAGATGGCTCTTTCCCCGTTCTCAGGCGAATCTACACAGTTGGGCCCATTAGAAGGACCTATGATCCTTTTACAGTAGTGGTTTGAGGCCTGCGGAAACTTTTCATCCATCGATCTGCGTAAAAAGTAAATTATGCTAGAAAGAGAAGGCGATGATACTTTATGCACATTTTTATCTAAAATTATCTATTTTTAAATATACTATACATCTTATGCCGAAATTGAATGTAAAAAAATTAAACGAGTACTGTAAAATGTTGAAGTAGATGGCACATAAGGATTTTGCTGGTATATGCGAATAGAGAAGCCGCTGCACAGGTGCTGCAACCGTGAGGAAAATATCTGAAGTTGCATTAGATGATGCTCCCTAGGACCGCTATGGTGCTGAAGGCGCTGCAGTCTACTTTGGTGAGTGGTTGTTTAGTATTTGTTTTGTCGTTTCTTCTTCACAGAAGGTACAAGATTTTTTCACAACTTTAACATATAAGTTCTTTTGGAAATGTATTTATACTGGTATACGGTTGATGAATAGCATCTTCCGGTGCTATATTGTTCATTTGTGTTTCAGTTACATAACCTTAATCTTCACGTGGATGTGTTTACATAGGCTACTTTTAAGATAAGAGTAGTCCATATTTAGACCAAGCCTTTAATAATGTTTCACATTTAGTTCTCTGTTTCAGAATGCAGCAAAGAAAACCAAAAAGTTATGTATCTTAAGAAAACAATATGGAAAAAGCTATTACAGCAGTAAGGGAAATGTTTGTGGGAACATTTAAAGCTACAAGAATGTTCAAAATAACACACACACAGCATTATACACCTTTCCAAAACAAAACACACCAACACAAACAGTTTTAGAAGATTCAGTAGAGGAGTAGCTGATGAAGTTCTTTACTTGGGATAAATATTTACACCAAGGTACTGTCTAATGAAACATTATTAGTTAATTTTGTATTAACACACAGTATTCTGTTGATAGGACAGTGACATCTTCATTTCTTTATGATATATTACTGTACACTGATATGAATAAATGTAATATTGAAATTAATTCAAGGTTATTTTAAAATCAGAGTTTGTTTTCTCCTTGTTATGATTATTCTTGGCTAATAAAGGTTATCACTTACAAAAATATCCAATGCATATTTATCTTTTTACAGCATATTCTAATTATTCTTCAGCAGAGCCTAGAGCAAAGTGGTTTGATGACACATCAAAATATTCATATACTGTGAAATTTTATAGGCTTCAAGGAATGGAACTTGTACCATGAATGGAACTGACTTTCTTTTCTAGATGCTCAACCTGCTATTTGAAATACATTAAGCAGGGCTGGGTGAATTCTCCTCAGTTTCTAGCATTTTCTGAGGTACAGTATAGCCAATAGCCTGACTCAGCTATGGGTTGAGTGCGCAGCAGGTAACTGTGCATATTGACTGTGAATAGAAACAGAGTTGTTGATTCAGTACTATGGTTAGAGTTCTCAGCCATAAGCCTTGATTTTACTAATTTGGTAGACTACTTGCCAGAACACAGAATTTTTCATGCTGTGAAGGAATGTTTTTGTTACTAGAATGAGGTAAGTCTGAGGTTACATATTTGATGTTTAATTGCATTTTACATATATTTCTTCTAAATGTGCACGTACTAGAAGATATCAGATAGAGTGTGAAGAGGTGGTAAGAAATATAAAGATAATGACTGTGGGAAAAAGGAAGAGACTGGAGACTTTTCATCCATTGGAATGTAACTTGAAACTACAATAAATAACCAAAATTTAGTTTGCATGATGTTTATTTGTAGGTTATGTAACTTCTTATGTATCCAAATGCTCATTTGATACATTGAGATGGGGAGCACAGGTCTTGTACAGTGTTTTACACCACCCAAGGAGAGAGAAGATATCTATGCAGTATGTCAATGTATTTTTTTGTAGTTTTATTCTAAAACTTATATCCCATTTGAACACAAGCTGACAAGTAAGTTACTGTGAAGATTGGAAAACAGATTATCCAGTAGGGCTCAATCTTCAAGAAGTTGAATTAGTTTATTTGTTGGCTTTCAAGGTAGTGATAAATGGAGATCAAAATTGTTCGTTGGAAATGTGTAGTTGCTTTTACATCCCTGTACTCTTTGCTCATCAAATGTTTATATAAATCTGTTTTGTTTGTGAGTATATATGGGAACATGGCCTACAGTCCATATACTGATAAACCAGATGTTATCCAGTGTTCAGATAAGTCCAGTACCATTCCAAGCAGACCTGGGGCATAGCTCCATACATTTTTAACCTTAACACTGGATGTAGATGAGTACCTGGTTTCATGTCCTGGCCGCTTTACCGCAGAGGAAAGAAGCCTGGTAACTGTTGAATAGGAAGCTAGGTGGACCTCCAAGCTGGTCTGCACAATGTGGCTAAGAGAAAAATAGTGCCCTGCCAGGGACCATATTGATCATCTAGCAAATAGCCTATTACAAAGCAAAAATTCTGCAAACTTTTGTATTGCTTCAAATAGGATTGATACAGTGTATTGAGAGAGATCTAAAGGAAGAATAGTTGGTCCCTAAAATTTTTGTTATATAGCCATGACCTGCACATTAACTGTATAATCATGGAATCTTGTGTGAAGGGATAGCATTTAAGTTATCTGGACAGGAAAAGAGATGGACTGATAATAATGATGAAAAAATTAAAAAGTTTGTTATTCCAGTTTTTACACATGTTTGACAAATAAGCTCAGAAGTGAGAACAAGGAATTGTGCATGATTTTATTTTTGTTTTAATCGATGGTTCTGATGTAGCAAGACGACAATATCCCAAAAACAAACCAAGAAACTGAGAGTACTGGTGAGTGTTCTATTTGGTTAAAGAAGTACGACCAACAAGTATAAGTAACCATGGACAATTTTTAATTTTCCTGCTAGATGGCAGAGGTATGGCGGTACTAAGAAAAATTAGGCGTCATGTGTAATGTTATTAAATATTTCATTCCTTTCTTTTAATCTTAGTACCACTTACAGTAGTGCGAATGTGCACCACAACCTCAAGTTCACCATATTAAAGAGGACTGCATATAAGTGTCTACTTTTATATTCTGCATCTTCCATTAAAACCCTGTCGTCATTGGTATGGCTGCTGCTGACGTTTATGTGCGGATGTTAATGTGTGGGGTTATGTTTTGTGTCCTGTATAGTTAACAACATTTTTAACATATCCCCATGTGTGTTTGTATTACGTAATGTGTGTGCGTTTATTCGAATGAAATTTTCTGCCAGTCTGGAACCCAAAGGACGCCTTTAACGTTACGAACATCGAACGAATTTTGATATTTCAACTCGCTCGAAGAGATTTTTAACCAATTTCTTAACGACTGGTTGTTGGTTTATCGACGCACCATACATCAACAACAAGAAGGGTAAGAATTAATTGTAATTCCTGGAATTTTTAGCTTTGTGGTCCCTAAAATTTACATTTAACGAAGAATTACAGGTTGAACTTTTTAAACATGGTAAGTATGTTAAGGTTATGTCACATGTTTTGCCTTGAAACATGTTTGTCACTGATCACTGATGTCATCTCGAAAATAACGTTTGTACAGTTGTCAGTTTCTAGATTAATTTGTGGCAATCGTACATTTAAATGTGTCTTGTCAGATTTGGATGGAGGGGGCGGGGCACAGTCAGTGTGAACATTCAAAAGATAGTAAATACAGGACTGTAGAAATGCCAAACAACTTATCACAGTCAGTCATATAAAGTGAGTACTTATAATCTGATGTTCTGATAAGACATGCATTTAAAGCTATTGGTATTTCTTGTCAGATCACTTGAATATAATTGCATGTTTGCTGGGTATCAACTATTTGCAATTGATAGCATTCGATTTACATTATTTTCTTGTTAAAGAGAGTAGTTTTATTCCTATTATTTTTGTGGTGAACATTAAGTTACTTGAGTGCTGAATTTTAAGTTCATACAGTCCAATAGAATAATAGACAAAACATGTATGTTTTTATTTTTGACTTAATATTGTGCATATTTGATGTAGCAAGCATGGAAAACAGCAAAAACATTCAACATTTCAGACATAGAGGAGGATAATGTTGTAAAGGGTATAACAGAAAAAGTTTGTTAAGATGTGAGTTGTTTTGGAATAACCTATTTAAGATCCAGTGGTGGACTTTGTGACAGTGGTGATGAACTATCAGATTTCATAATAACCGAGAATAACTTGGACACCTAAATAACTGTAAAATGCATGAGAAAGACCTGAATTGTGGAAGTGGTTGGTTTTTCATTAATGAGCCCCAGACCAATAACTGCTCACTAATTCATAAGAGTTTGCCTTTGTTACTAAGAAGTAATAATATGAGATTTGATGTTTTTACTGTAGTGAAGATGTCAATGTTGGTCTTTTGGGTGAAATGCCATGTGGATTTATAGGTATATACCAGCATTTTGGAGGAACATACTGCCTTGATCTTGTCATACAATTAATATGATTGATAGAGTAATAATAGTGTAGGTCATTCCAAGAAACATGCATTTTTTATGGGCTGTTTAAGTCAGTAGATATTCAAAGGGTTGTCCACTTATTTTTGACAAAATGTCCTTTCATTTTTTCAGTAGACACTCTGATTTTTTCTTATTAATTTAGAAGTTATTTTAATAATTTTAGAAGATTATATTTTCATACATATTTTGAGATCAAAGTTAACAAATTCATTATGAAACATTGTTTTAAAAAGTTATGTGTGTGCCCATACACCACATATAGGGTTTGCGGAGATAAAGCCTTGTGCATTCTCAGTCTTGGCTCTGGAGGGAGATTTGTTGTTAGTTTAATGGTGCAACTGACTTACCCGCTGGGCAGAAGGCCCTAATATTTGGTGAATAATGAGATTAGTTTGGCCCAAAACACCAAGAAATTAATTAGAGGAGAATGTTTTCCTCTCCACGATTTTCCTTCTGTTCAAGGAAATGGATATCTGTTGATGCCATTGGTCCAGTTTTGTTTGCTTGACAGCTTAGTAATGTACGTATTTGATAAAATACATAATCGTGTGAAGGGCTGTATAAAATTATATCCATGAAGACTGACAACATAACAGTTTGTCTAAGTAATCCAGTATTTATGCTTCATCTGTTAGGAGTGATCATGTCTCATTGAAGGTTAGTTAGGCTGCTAATGTCTGATTCCTCACTGAGGTGTTTGGATTATTCTCTTCATCACAATTCTAGGTCTCTTTTATGATTTTAATCAGGATATTTTCCCAGGTGGTAAGAACAGCTGGATCACAAATGAGTAAAGGCCTGTAATGCATATAGCTTCACGATCATGGCCACGTGTATCGGGATTTACAGAATTGCTAAATAGACTTATATTTTATAGCTAGACCTCAGATTATTTTCATCAGAAATGAATATCACATAACTAGGAACACAGCGATTTATGCAGCGAATCAAATACTATTAGATCAGTCGAATCAAGAAGGTTGCTTTGGTTTCGACGTGCAGGTTTTTGGCGGTGAACATTTTTGTAAGCGGCCAATTGGAAGAACGATAAGTAAATGGGAAGGTAACGTTAGATAAAGGGTTGTGTCCATTGGAGCGTGTTGAATCTCGAAGCTTCGTTACCGAGGAGTTACTTAGTTTGTTATTTACGTAGTGTCTATAAAGTCGGAGACCGCAGAAGCAGTCTAATAGAGTTGAAAGTTGTATCATCTCGTCGTTAGGCGACGTCTTGGTATCCATTCAGAGCATTACCCAGTTTATCTACACATCCGACCCATTACATTTATGGATAATACTGCAACATTCTAGGTGCGAGACTAGACTTTGCTCACTCGGTATGGATTTCAGTTTCGTGTTAAAAAAAACTTGAATTGCTGGGTGGAACTTACGACACTTTCGTTAAATAATTTTATCCGTATGGACAGATTGACGGAGAAATAACGAAATTAGTTATATCTGTGCATAATTTTGGGCCAGTCAGGTGAAATATGAAGTAAAGAAAGAATAAACACAAAAGAAAACATTGTGCAGAATATAGAAAGTAAATGTTTGTGTTGTATGATGGCCAAAACAAGAAGACGTGGAAGGGGAGACCAAAAATACTACGAAGTAAAAGGAAACGAAGGAAGATGACTGAAATGTTAGATAGTTATGGAGAACGAGCATGGGAAACCCTATGAAGACAAACTCCGAAGAAGCAAAAGTGACATTTTAGTTCATGAATCCTGTGGGCTGTAGTCTGAATGCTTTATGCCGTGTTTGAGATTGTGAACCCGAAAAATTTCCATTACGTACTGCGATCTCGTACCGATATCTTTACCATTGCTGGTATTTATGAAGGTGTTCCTACGTATACTCTGGGATGGCGTATTAAAATAAGACATGACCGCTACCTTTCACATCCTTAACTGTTTATAATTATTAGTAATTTTGTGTCACATCGACACTGTGTTGCTTAACCTTTGCTTTGACAAACCGTCCTTAAAATCTGCAATTTTATCAACGCGTTTCGTTTGATTCTCATGAACAGAGAGTATTGCCTTAAACAAGTCAACAGATTTATCTTTCTAATGGTGAAATGTGCTTTCTTTGCGGTAAAAGTAAAGTAAAGTTAAGTTTGTCCCACTATACGCCATGTAGGCGTTTGGGGTGAGCGGAGGTATAGCTCCTCTCTTCCTTGACCTCGGCACTAGATGGGGGTGAGTGGTCAGCGTCACGCCCCGGCCGGCTTTACCCCCGGGAAAAGACCCCGGTACCCATTGTAGAGGAGGATGGGTGGGCCCCAGAGGCTAGAGGAAAAATCCTCTGCCCCCGTCGGGGATCGAACCCGGTCGTCCAGCCCGTAGCTGGTCACTATACTGACTGGGCTATCCCGGCTCCGCTTTCTTTGCGTTACTGACTGATTTATTAAATAGGCTTTCAGGCGGTCTTTGGCTTTAAAGGTTTTGGAAAACCAACAAAGTGTGTTCGGTCTTGACATAATTGTATTTTTATATCGAAGGACTCAGTCTCATTGTGACTTTCTTATTGTTGATTACTTCTGGGCACATGTAAACGCCAATCTTATGATATCGACAGACAATAGCGCCTTACAGGATATGCTTCATTTCATACACACAAAAGATCTAAGAGAACTGAGAAACAAGCAATATGTATGTATATACACGTGTAGAAAAGAAAGGTACGACCATATTTAAAAAAAAGGAGCGTTTGATGCTGCTCACTGGACCGTGTGATGATGGACTCTTGTAGGTTTGTTTTAATCATTTCAGTGCAAGAGTGACATTTGGATCCTAGTAAAATCTAATGCATACAGGTGGAAGTTACATAACTAAGACCTCCTTTTTCTTAAATGTTCTTAGATGATTAGGCCTACATCGATGAGCCTGGATAGGTACTAAAACCAGGTTACGACTGATTCTTTCCACATACTTTCCAGTTAATTGTTCGTTTGTTTTTCAATCATTCGATGTTATATAATCTTGAGCGACTGACAGCGTCGTTAAATTAACCAGAAATAAATAAACAAATAATTAAACACATCGGGGGGAGTTGAGGTGTTTGATTATGTGTATATGCATAGCTTTCTTAGTATGTGACGAATGCAGAATACGTGATTAGTAGTGAATCGAAATCCATGCTGATGATACTTCACATATTCGTCCACATATGGAGTTAACCTTGAGAGAGAATGTTCAAAATTTTGTATATTTATTTATATTTAACTTATTCACTACTCTATCGATTTCAGTTTGACTGTCCTTTTAAGATCATACTTTGTACATTATTACTGCAAGGTACATCACTGTGCTCTATATTTCGTATTTGAAGATAAAGCCATCAGACGCAGACTACAAGTTTTAATTACGAGGAGGAAACCTTAGAGATGACAACCTTCGTACGATTTAGGCAACATATGAAAATTGCCAACGCCTCTACAATAAATATTAGCGCTTCAGTGATTCATTCTTTCTTTTGTCATCGACGTTGCGATATGGATTTGGAGACGGAGTTGGTCGTTAGCGGGACTTCCCAGATTTGTACGAGTAGTCGACCGCAAAAGTCGAACGTGCTTACTAATATGTGCGTCGTCTGTTTATCCGTACGTAACAACTCGAGATCCGCCGAGATGGTTTTTATGAAATTCGATATTGGATAGTTTTACTAAAACTTGTCCAATTTGACCCATTTCCGTTTAAATCGGACATCAGCAACGGGAACTTTACATGAAGACCTGCATGAGTTTGTTGGCACGAAGCAGCGTGTAGAATATGAGGAAATGTAAGTTTCTTGTCAAAAGGACACATCAGTAAGATGAAACTTCTGATTATTAAAGTTTTACCATGGACATCCACAAAATAGGTTACTTGCCTTTGCATGTTTAAAAAATTATTGCCCAACC